ATCTAATAAGACCGAAGAACGTCCGGTACATCCACGAGGCTTGGGGCATGGTACAGGGATGGTTGGAGCCACGCAGAGCCCATAAGGCTGGGGTGCACTTGAACCCCATTCCAGAATACAGGCCCAGTATAGGACAGGAGAACCGTGACCAGGAAGACTAAAGGTAGCCTCCCTATAAGTCACATACGACCAAAGACGTGGCAGATGAGATTGCGAGGTGCAGATAGGCAGTTTGGTGTGGTATAGAGGGTAACAAGGGGGGAGCACAGTGACCCCGAGTTCCCATCCTGTCACACTTACAATTAAAGAAAGCTGCACGGTTGTAGTCAGAGCCTGCACTTGGTTCCAAACATTCCTGAGGGCCCATGTCAGGTGCTTGTAAACCTGCTTGGCTTTACTGCTGAGCCCATAGTAGACCTCCCTGGCCTTCCCTGTGAAGAACAGGCCCAGGAATTTTAGCTTAGTATCTTCATTCCATGCATTTAACTCAGTTGCTATTTCAAATTGTTCATGTCACTCACCCCCATTCTTGCTGCTCCCCACTATCAGGTGCTGTGGCAGGGCTTGATTGAGTTAGCCCAGTGGGAGTGGAAAAGCAAACCCAGGAGGGGCTGGAGGAACTATGTGGCACAGTGTTTGGAGGGGCCCAAGAAGATGAACCTGTATGGCAGTGAGGGCAAGCGACTCGAGAACCTAGCCATAAAAACCTCAACTGATCCATGCTGGGGACAAGACCAGACCCGTCAAAGGGCCAGAGTGCCTGCTGCAAGGGATGGCCAGAGGCTAGGGGCTAGAGGCCTGGAGTCCCAACTGGCCTAGAGATGAGCCCAGGGCCTGTGAGGACAAAGGTCCTGGAGGGGACCACTGCCAAGAGGGAAGAAGGCTTAGGGAGTTTTGCAGCCCAGAATGAGGGTGGAGATTAGACCACCTGAGGAGGAGGGATCCAGGTTAGGGTCTGAACATATAGTCCATGTGGCGTCCTGCACTCACCGGCTCTGGCAATGGTGATTAGGGCTCTGGGCACTCATGGCAGAGCCCCCTGTGTAGCACGGGGAAGCAGGGATTGCCCTCCTAGCCTGGCACCTGCGTGGCAGCTGCCCCATGGCACAGGTGGAGCATGGCTCAGCAGGACGCCACATGGTGTCTGGGAAGTGGGGCAAGTCCAGCAGTCACCCAGAGCCTGGCAGTGCTCAGCCCCAGTAGCCTCAGCTCCCAGACAGTGTGTGGTGCCCTGCCAAGCCACACTGCACCTGCACCATGGGGCAGCTGCCACCCGGGTGCCAGGTTGGGGGGGCAATCTCTGTTGCCTGCCACTGCCCCGCACTGTGGGGGGGTCTCCGCCACGAGCGCTCAGAGCCTTGATCACCACTCCTCTTTTTTTTTTTTAAGTGGTGGGACTAGGCGGGGGATGGGGCCATAGGGGCTTCTCCTGCAACTCTTCTGGCTGTGTTCGGTGAAGACTGTGCCAAGCAGACTCCGATGTTGGTGCTGGCCCCAGCCAGCAGCAACAGAGTGCTGTCATCCCACGCACAGATCTGGGGGTCCATGCCTCCCGGAAGGCCTGGGGGGCTCTATCAGACTCCCCTCAGGGTTCACGGGCGCCCGATCTGCCCACAGGATGACAGCAGGCTGCCACTGCCAGTCAATGATACTAGTAGTAGTTTTGCTTTGAACAGTTTGAGGTGCAGTTTCACAAAAACTGCTGCACCTATCTCCTTGAAACTTGGCAGGCTTCATGCCCTCAGAAGGGGCTACTATCCCTGCAATTTTCATTCATATCAGGCAAGAAATGTCAAAATTATAGGCATGGGTGACTGGTGCCACCCTAGTCGGGGGGGGGGGGCTTGTGTCCCCTGCAGCGATCAGTCAGTGACCAGGAGGAGGGTCCCCCCATGGCCAATCTTGCTGATGGGGCGGGGGGGCGAGTCCTCCATGACCGGTCACAGAGTGGCAGGTGCAGCATGGCAGAGCGCTGCGTGCTGCCTGGGAGCTGGGCCAGCTCCAGCAGTCACCTGGAGCTCCCAGTTTGATCCCCAGCTCTCTGATCATGCCCCCAGATCTGCGCATGGGTTTCAATCAGCTGCTGCTGCCGGCTGGGGAAATAGCTCAGAGCCAACACCATCCCCAGCTGGCTGCGGCACCTGCTGTCATCCCACATCATCCAGGGGCCCACACCCCCCAGGAAGGGCTGGGGGAAGCGACCAGGGAGCTGGGAGAAAGATCAGGGAGCTGGGAAATTGAACCAGGAACTGGGGGAAATGTTTAGGGACCTGAACACATTCCCCATCCCCCCCGTTAGATTCCCCAGCTCTCTGTTCACTTCCCCCAGCTATCTGATCATTCCCCCAGGTTTTCTGGGGGGCACGTGTCCCAAGGAGGAGCTGGGGGAAGTGTTCAGAGATCTGGGGAATTGAAGCTGGAGCTAGATGTCAATATCAGAGCAGTCCTTACCCACTCTTCTCCCTGACTCTCCTTAGTTTCTGTTTAGCTGCAAGCTAGCCCAGCTTCAAAACTCAAAATGTTTCAAAACTTTCAAAATGTTTTGAGTGCCCTCACTTCATTTTGAAGCTGTTTTGAAGCCTTTTGTTTCATTTTGATTTTGCTGTTTCGAGTTCAACATGCGTCAAAACAGCTTCAAAATGAACCACCCGTTGGAATTTTGCACAGCCCTAGTAATTATGCATCTGGAAAGGGTAATAGAATCATTCTTACATTTTAATCCACAAGCTCTCAGTTGGTTACAAGTCACATTTTGGTTGTGCAGTAGGCAAAATAAACTTCTGCCCCCTGTATCCACATTTATCCTGCAGTAGCAAATTGCTCAATGCAAACTGGCTCTTCCCTAATTCCTTTCACCTAGGGGTAACATAATATAATAAAACCTACCAGGCTGGCCACCCCAGGATAACAGGTTTTGTCTCCAGGTCCAAGTGGGCTATGTATTGGTGAACAACACTGCTCTAGATAATACAAGCATGTGTGTCAGATGTCCACAGTTCCTCAACTTGTATTGGTTATTTCACTTCTATAGGACTATAAACATAGCATGGATTTTAAGCTACCAAAGTCCTTTCCCAGCATGAAATGTGTTCAGTCTGAAACCAAATATGGAGGGGTGTAACAGAGAGCCCGAGATTCCCATTAGTCTAAGGTTAGTCTTTGGCTCTCTCACAGGGCAGTGTTCCCTCTCCCCATTCTTAGGTGGTACTATCATAGCGTCATAGAATCAATGAGTGGAAAGGGA